TGTGTGTGTGTGTGTGTGTGTGTGTGTGTGTGTGTGTGTGTGTGTGTTAAATCCCTCCTCTTTGTTCTGGGTCCAGCTACGTGGCCATGTTCCCCTACACTCCCCGTAAGGAGGACGAGCTGGAGCTGAGGAAGGGCGAGATGTTCCTGGTGCTGGAACGCTGTCAGGACGGCTGGTTCAAGGGCACCTCCATGCACACGGGCAAGATCGGAGTGTTCCCCGGGAACTACATGAGCCCCGTCAGCAGGTCGGTGGTTCATTAACGCCGAACACTCAGTCACACATTCACACGCCTGCTCTCACATCCATCTGTCTGTGATGCACAGCCACGGGTTAATGATCCCACCTGTTCTCATTGTGAACGTGTCAACTATCAGGCGCTACGTGGCAAAGCCCCAGAGTACACTTCTCTTTTTATTGATTGTGTTTAAAGTCCTATCATTCATTTATTTATTCAGGGTAATCCATTGAGATTATAAAACCTCATTTACAAGGTCAAGATGGCAACGTAAAAGTTTCACACAAGAGCCACAAAAATACACAAATAACACTTAAAAACACAAATAACACTTAAAAACACAACGGAAAACACTTTTGCTTTTTTTTTGTTATACATCTGTTTTATATTTTTTACTTTGTTCTTGTTTGTTGGTCAAAAACGTATGTCTATGTAACATTTGTCATGTTTTTGTTTTTCTTATCTATCATTTATATTATCTATTAATTATCTTTACTTACTTTATTGTATTATGTATCGTGACATGTTCCAACTTTGCAATTTATTCCCATTAAGCTTAGCTTCCTTGTAGTAATGTTTAACTACATAATTAATTATTCTTAATTTCACCTTTTTACTGTCTGTCAGCGGGTTGATAGACGGAGAAAGAAACAGAAACTATTGTAATTACACATTTATATGTATTCACCTCATATGTTTCGACATGAAAAGCTGATTTTATTAAGGTATAAAAACATCCCGTCGTTCTCCTGCTACCTCACACTCACCGTCTTTCTGCCCTCTCCCTTCAGGACGGGGTCAGGGAGCACTCAGCCCAAAGTGCCCATGAGTCTGTGCACCCAGGCGGGCCGAGGGGTCACCATCGTCAGCCCCTCTTCTGCGGCCCTGGGGGCCATCGTTCCGGGTCCCGATTTCAACAAGCCCCTCCCCGTCTGCTCCAGCGCCGTTCCTGCCAACTCGCAACCCGCGGCCATGGTGACGGCGGCTCAGACGGCCACGGGTCAACAGCCCAAAGTCCCTCTGCACGTCGGCTCCCAGATGACCGTGAATCAGGCTCGCAACGCGGTCAGGACCGGTACGTTCACCGGGAGGGCAACGGATTCTAGGTGGTGGCTTGTTCAATGAAAGGGGCTTTAAAGGGGGAGAGGGCGAATGTTTTGCTGTCTCACGACTCAATTCAATGACTCTTGATGAAAAACTCTATGAAAATTTCTTACAATTTTAACATTTAAAGCAGGCGGCAACCTCTGGTTCTGCAGAGTTAAAACCTGCATTCTCTCTAGTGTCCACCAGGGGGCGACTCCTCTGGTTGTATAGAAGTCTATGAGAAAATGACTCTACTTCTCTCTTGATTTATTACCTCAGTAAACATTGTAAACATGAGTTTATGGTCTCAATCTCTAGTTTCAAGTCTTCTTCAATACAGCATGATGTTCATTTAGTAACTTATGGTCCTTTTAGAGTCAAATAGACAATGTTAAAAAATATATTTTTGGTGTTCGTGGTAGTTGTGAATCGATAAGAAGTCGTATAAAAGACCACTCCTTAAACGTGTAATATTGTTTATTATATCTTTTTTTGTTGCAGCTGCATGTCACAGTCAGGACCGGCCCACAGCTGCTGTGACTCCCATCCAGTCCGCTACACCTGTGACGTATCTGCCACACCTGGTGTTGTGCCAGCAGCCTTCCTCCTCCGGTCCCGCCCAGTGCTGCTCCCGGGCGGCCGCGGCGATGGGCTGTGCCGCCGCGTCTCTGACTCCCCCTAATGTCAGCGCTGCATCCCTGGAGGGTGACGCTCTGAGACCCGGGGCCGTCCTCGCCGGCTCGGGGAACAATCCCACATCCAACAGCTCGGCTCTCGCCAGCCGACTGGACAAAGACGTCAAGGTCGGATATGTTTGAATACTTCTGATATAACATCTGTATCTGACAACTAGAGGGATAAGAACACGTCAATACACTGGAGTATGGGGATATTAAGTTCTGTGATACTGTGTCGATTCTCAAAAACACTATGCTGATTTTAAAGTAGTTGTTTCTACGCAAAGACTCGTGGGTCAGATTGTGCACAAAGTAATACTGTGATGTTTAATGTGACAGTGACTGTGATGAATGTGATGCAGATCCTCAGATTTTATTCATATGGTGACGTGTTCATCTCACAATAACTAGATTTTTGTCTAGTTTTAGATTATTTTGTCAACTTGTCATTTTCAAGAACCTTCATCATTACACTGTTTTTCAAAAGGAGGAAGTTTGTGTTTTCTGGCCTCAAATGGTCAATGCTCTGCGGTGGTTCGGTGTGTCTGAGACTCCTGATGACGTTTGTTATGTTTGTCAGTCTGCGTGTGTGTTTGTGTGTGGCGGCGGTAAAGAAGCATCGGTTCCAGACTCTGGAACGTACCTGCGTCTCTGTGTGTGGAAACCACTTCTCTAACACGTAAATGATGCTGTTGTTGCTGCAGAGAGAAAAGAAAAGCCTCCTGAAGCTGTTGTCCTCCAACAAGAAGAAGTCTCGTCCTTCGCCGCCCTCCTCTCCGACCCTGGAGGCGGAACAAGCTGCTGCTGCTGCTGCTGGAGAGGCGCTCCACGACTCCTCCCCTCCCTCCGGCTCCGGCGGCCCCGAGCCCGAACCTGCTGCTGTATCTTCTGCCTTCTCGTCCTCCTCGGTCCCAGAGTCCTCCCACCGGAAGAGCAGCCCCCTGGATGGATGCGCCCCCATCGCTCCTCCTCCTCGCCAGCCGTGCTCCTCTCTCTTATCTCAGCAGCACGACGCGAGGCCCATCATCTGTGAGAGGTACGGTGACCTGAATCTCCCAGAGTTCACAGAGAGTGTACGGCTTTGTAATGGAGTGAAGTTACCCGTGTGTCTGCAGCGCTGGTTGTTATCTAATACATTTTGAGTCGGTTTGCTTCTTGTTGACGAGTGCAGTTCCTCAGCAGCAGGTTATAAATAATACTTCTCAGTGAATGGTGTCAGACTAAAGCTTAGTTTATTCTCACGCTTGGTGTCATAGAATGAGACTCTGCAGAGTCTGTACGGAGGAGTTTATACTTAACGTGCTGCTTTATTCTCTGGAACACTAGACTAGAGGATATACAAACAATATTAACTGTGAGGAATCAACAAGACAACGAGTGTAACTCAGAGATATGAACATAGACTGTAGGTGTAACCGACAAAACACCATAAACCAACCTCTACAATGACGAGGAGGGATTGTTATTATCTATAAACTCATATCTCATATTCATGAACTACTTTATTATCTTTATTCAAACCCTGAAAAGAAAGAAGTCAAGTATTAAATGTATTATAATTTATTTCTGCTGCCTGTGTACAAATGGCGTCCTGCAAACACGGAGCTGAAAGAAGTCAAGTATTAAATGTGTTATAAAGAAACAAAGGTTGAACATCCTGTAAACTATTTGATTTGGCTGCTAAATATTTACTATAATGAAGATTTTTCCAGAGCATCCAAAAAAAACCCCAATTCTACTTCTTTGTTTAATCCTCAGACGTGTAAATAGTGGTTTTTTTTTATCGGTTAACTATTTGTGACAGCGGCCCCACGAGTCGGCCATGTTTATGTCATTTTCTCGCCGGCTTCACTACGCAGAGTATAGACTAACCTTCTCACTATATTCATGACTTTGTCGTTGTGTCCATCGCTGACTGTGCCTCTCCGGTCGTGTGTGTCTCTTCCCCCCCCAGGTACAGAGTGGTGGTGTCGTATCCCCCCCAGAGCGAGGCGGAGCTGGAACTCAAGGAGGGCGACATTGTGTTCGTTCACAGGAAGAGGGAGGACGGCTGGTTCAAGGGCACGCTGCAGAGGAACGGCAGGACCGGACTGTTCCCCGGCAGCTTTGTAGACAGCATCTAACACACACACACACACACACACACACACACACACACACACATGGTCACTGGCCTCACTGCGGTGCGTCACCGTGCAAAACCAAAACGGATCAGCGCTCGCGAGGTTTGCCGAGACAGGACCTTCATTTTGACACTTTAACTCCTTTAGAGAACGAACGCTGTTGGCACATGAGAGAGAGAGAGAGAGAGAGAGAGAGAAGAACAGAACAGAACATGTTGTCATTGAAAAGCACAGTGGACAGAGTTAGGTACGGAAGCCCTGAACGGACATTATTGAAACATTGTGTTTAATGTCGTTGTCTTGAGATCACCAGGTGTTTATGTCTTCATCACGAGTAAACCGAAGGATGAAGATGTTTGGGTCAAATCATCCGACGGAGACCTTTAGTGAAGTCAGTGGAGAGAGATTCACGTGTGACAACGTCCGGTTTTCAAAATAAGGTGTTAACAAAGACTACATAAATAAATACATTATATTCTGAAGAAGTATAAAGAAATGTTATCTGTGTTGCTTATAAATGAACAAGTCAATACCACTAAAGTGTGAGGGAAACGACTTTATTTGATTTTTGTGTTGCTGGAAAAATTATCTCTGAAACATACAGTCAGTTATGACATTTTCCAAAGTAAAAGTCCGACATTTCTAGAATGAAATAGCTACATTTTTTAACTTGAGGTGCTATAAAAACACACATTGCTCCGTAATTGCTGACATTTGACTTCTTCTCTGACTACATACATACTGAAAAGAAATGTATTTCACGGTAGAAATGTCGGACTTTTACTTTGGAAAATATGTGAATTGATCAAATTCTTGAAGTTTTTTTTATGTCTTCAACTCAAATGCATCATTGTCACAGAAATTATTATTTTTCCAGCAGCCAAACATCAAAGAATAAAGACATTTCTCTCATAGTTTTGTGATATTTTTAATTTATTAGTGACACAGGAAACAAGCTTTTAAATATAATCCCTTTCTTCTTATTTCTATATATGCATTTTGTTTACACCTTATTTTGAAAACAGGATGTAGTCACGCGTATCTCTGTCAGCTCGTCTGAGCCGTTTTAAATCAATCGCAGTCGGACTGATTTGATCCAAACATTTAAAGTTATAACAGAAAACAACCGTTTTTATTTTCAAGAAATGAATAAATAATCATCTCAAGACGGCAGTTTTCTCAAGATAACGATATAAAACATAAAAGAGTGTTTGAATCGTGTCCGTTCAGGGCTTCCGTAGTCAGCACACTACTCATGAACTTTTTCCTTTTTTTTTTTTGTTGGTTATTTATATCTTTAACAATTCAGCTGTTTAAATGTGTGCCTTGTACTGTTCCTCACTTTATTGTACATAAAGGACACAAAGATGATTAGTCCTAAAAACAACCAGTATGAGCTGTTGATATAGATATGTTACACACTTTAACTTATTTCATAGATCGGCCTTTTTTCTTTCTTTTTGTAGTAGTGCAACACATTAAGGGGGTTCAGCTGCCACCAGCCTTATTTGACCTCATCGGTTACACCTTTACTCCCTCAGACTGATTTCAGTCGGTCTGTCAGAGGCACCGAGAACAAATGAGCCGAGGCTCCTCGTGTCGAAGGAAAAACAGATATTTCTCTATTTCTAAAGGCATCAAAAATGTTTCCGTGGTGCGTTCACAGACCTCCAGTTGCTGAGTAAACTGTTACCTGCAGTGATCAAATATGCGCATGTGATTAGCAAATAACCTCCTGCGGAAGACAAAGTGGTGTCAGATGTGTTGCAGTTTGGTTAATGCCTTTATTCTATTTTTATTTTAAACACACTCCAAGACGGACGTTGCAGTCTAAATATTAGCTTACTTTGTACCTTTCTTTGTATTTAGCGACCTGCGTAGCTCCTCTCAGACGTAGCTCTACATCACGAGAGCGAACACATCGCTGTGTATTTATGTTAGCAGCTGATTCAGCAGGCTCACAGTTTTATTTGTACACTAGAACTCATTCCTGAAGGCACTCGTGGCAACAAAAGACCCAGCTAGCTAAAGCACGGAATGTTTGCCTCAAGTCGGACGAACTCCACGGGAAGAGACGGGGAACTCTGTCTCATCTCTGAAACGTGAGCTGTTATTGAAATCCATCTCTTTGTTTTTCTTGATTTCTGCGGTTGGGTTTTTTTTTTTTTTTTGTACATTTACTTCCATAAAAAGTTCTTAAAGTTGAGTATCGTATTGACTTGAATTAAGATGTCTGTTGATTTGAGGGGATTTTTTTTGGTGCTTGTTGAAACATAAAACAAAAAAGAAATGAACAGTTTTAGAATGAGTGAGATCCGATCAAATCTCTCAACGTGTGATGAAATACTTCAAAATAAAGGTATTCTTATTAGGAATGAACATTATCGCCTCAGTGGACCCCACGACATTTCATGTAATGCGACTTATTGATCTCCTGTGAGGTATTTAAACACTTTAAATCACTGAATCGTGCCAAATCTGGCTTTTGAGAATGAACTTCCTGACTGACTTGGCCTTTTTCTTTGTTGTTGTTAATTGAGGGGGACCACTGTGTAACTGACTGCTGGAATATGTTGTAGTTTGTTTGTGTGTGGAAAAGGATGGTACAAATCACTGTTTGGGCCTTTTTCTTTATTTTCTTTTGTTTTTCTGAATTCATGTAGAATTAATCTGACGTTGTCTTGGCACCGCACCGACCTCCGGCTCTGTGCTCGTCTGTCTCATTTCACTGGTTCGCCTTTTAATACTCACGTTATGCAGATGCACACGTTCATGCACTATCGAGACAAACCTAATCGTACTGACTCCTCCTCCGGATTGTTTGTGTAAAAGCTGCACACTTCTCAAAAACATGGAGCGTTTGTTAACAGTCGATAAACTCTATTTCATTGGAACACACTTTGTGTTCAACTTAACGGATTCTCCTCATGCCAAGGTGACTTACTTGATTTATTTTGTGTCTGTCTGTAGTTAGTCTGTATGTCTGAAAATGGTGAAACTGAAATTTGGCACAAATCTATTATGTGAAAAACATTCTGAAGTATTTGAGGGAATAGCACATTTTGTAAAAGAAAATCTATAACAATAAAAGCTAATGGTTTCCATAATTCTTCTCCTGGTTGATGTTTTATTACTACGGAAGAGGATTTCATTTTTTAAATTGCGTTTTGAGAATAAAGACAAGGTGGCAAGTTTAAAGGTGGAACTATAGTGTTCACATATAGACTGCTGCAATTATGACTTCATTCTGGAAATGCCATTTTTTTTTTTTCATAATACTCTTCCGTACATCACGGTAATGTTGTGTTTTCTTGTGTATTAGTATTGGCGAGTACATGAGTATTTGTGTCCTCGTCTCAAACACAAAGCTTGAACGGACTAATATTAATAATTATAATAATACATTTTATTTAATGGCACTGAATATAAATATATATTTTACTGAATAATAAATGTAAAAAGGGTATTTAGTAAGTTTAGTGTAGCATTGCTTTGGTTTGTCAGTAATGACTTATTGTTTTTAGTATTTTATATATTTGTATTTTTGATGAATCAGTTGAAAAAGTCAAATCTAAACTAGTTTAAAAAGAGTTTTAATGGTGAATAGGGTAAAAAATGAATAGATAACCATGAAACTTCACCAGTTCATTACTCCCACTAAGATGATTTATTGTATTACAAGTTTTCTTGTCATACAAGTTTTCTGAAATGTTATGTTTAAATATGCAAATGAGGCATTATCTAATGGTAACTTTTGCTGAATTTAGGAGAAAGCTACGGATGTAAACGGACAAAGTAATAAAATAAATGTTTTATTTCCTCTAGTCTGAACGAAGACGAGTTATGGAGGAAAAATAGACTAAAATCTCTAAATTAAAAACAATGTTTCTGCCTAAAATGTGTATCCTTACCAACGGTTATGAACTCATGAGACTCGACATGCGAGATAAACTACCAGCTGAACACAGTTGCTCTTAATTAATGTAATTGGGTGAAGTCAGGTGGTCGTTGGTGTCGTTGGTCTTCTCAGTGAGCTCAGCTGAGAAACACTGACAGGAAGTGACACGAGAGGTCAGTCATCTGCACACGGCCCGCTGCTGAGGACTGTTACCATGGTGAAACATCTCAATGTAGGAGCCTCATGAGACTCAGCAGGAAATATACAAACGAGTACCGGCCGGCATTCGGTATGTATAGCATTGTATACAACATTCAACGGTCATGTACTTCAATTTTTTCATATTCAACAAATCACAATGGAATTAAGACAAAGGTATTCCCCAAAATAAGATGGATCATATATACCATGTATTATAGAGGACCAGGTAACCACCGGCCAGCTAACCACCGGCAAGCTAACGACCGGACAGGTAAACACGACCGGACAGGTGAGTCTCATTCAGGAGGAAACACAGACGGGCTGCTACATCATCACCGCTCAGTATTACAAAGAGATTTCAACAAATACATGTTCAAAGAAAGGGTCTCTCTTCAATACTAGAAGACAGTTTTTATGGCTCAATTAAGGAAAATAATTACATATAAAAACAGTACCAGCTGCCAAAAATACCCAAAAAAAATCAAATAAATCATAAAGAAAACATTCATGTTTCGGTCATGCAGGTGTGACACAGAACTGAAATGTGAATATTCGTACAATCCACGAGGCAAGAACTACTATTTTTATCTCAGGAAGTGTGTTAGTGTTGTGTAGTATTGTGTGTGTGTGCAGGGTTACAGAGAAATATGTGTGCACTCATGAAAGAGGTGAGCATGAATAGATCAGTAAGGTGTGAAAGATGTGAATAAATGAATACAAATGAAGCTCCATTTCTCTCTCTGACACACAGTAAAAATCACTATTACTGTAAATAAATAGGGTTATGAAACGTATTGTGTTGAAATTAAAAAAATACACAGTCTATTGTCTGGTGTTAAGCCGAGAGTTATGGCAGCAGTGGGTGTTAAATATATTTAAATATATTTTTCTATATAGAAGTTTTTCACCTCATTGGCTAATTGACTAAAGACTGAAGAAGAAACTAAACTGCTGAACCTACCAAAATAAAAGAAGAAAAAAGTTCTTTGGTCATTGAGAGGAATTTAATTAAAAAGATATATTTTCAAGTGGAGAAGCTGCACATATTCTTTGAAAATAACTTGACACAGAGAATTAATGAGCATCGAGGTAAAGGGGTCGACTCTCCGGCACTAAATATGATTTAACCTCACAAATCAGTCCTGCAGAGGTTCTTGGTCTGATTGGAGAATCCAGGTGAACATCACAACTCACAGCAGAGACAGCTTTGCTCTGCTGGTGAAATATATCTCCATGAGGAGCAATAAAGCAAAGAAGGGAGAATAAATGACTGCAATTAAGAGGCAAAGAGCAAGTTAGGGCACCGTGTGTCGGTGTAAATATTCTAAAAGTTAAGTCAGAGAGTAGAACTGTGATTGTTCATGTGAATTTAAGAGTATATAGCAGTACATGTTTGCCTCTACAGTATATTGAAAAGACATAATAGGAATATTCATTCTGCAAAGACAATTTGTTACTCATTTTTCATGCTTTTTGGATTCAAGGATAGTTTAAGTTGTGTTAGTGACGTTAGTTACGTTTGTGAAGTGTTTTCCTGTTACGTTTTTAACTTAGTTTACGTACTTATTTTAAGTCCAACCATGATGTTTTTTTTCTAAACCTAAAGGCAGGTAATGGAACAGTCTGGGAAGTTCAGCAAATTACATGGCTTTACTGTAATGCAGCCTTTAAAACCAGGAAAAGACATTTATGACATATTTCCATATCAAGAGTCTAAGACCATATCACGATATTGATATAATATCGATATATTGTCCAGCATTAATAATTAAGTACAATAAGGTCAAGTTAGTTAAATTGTGTCCCCAGATCCCACTCAGTCCTGTCACCTTCTAAACATGTGGGACATGACACAAGTCACATGATCAACAGGAAGTAGCATCATTTGAGTCTCCTGAAGGCCAAAAGTAAGTTCTCTCACTTTATATTATGTATTTTTAATCGTATCGTATAAATGATAATGTCAATCTCAATCAATCCTGTAACCTGAATTATTTCTTATTTTTTAAAGACATTTCCAGGTAAACCACTTAAAGGTACAAAGTGGTCTCGTGCTATTAGCATTGATGCTATGTGGCTACATTTCATGTATTTGCTAATGCTATGCTAAACACTCAGTCCTGTCTTTTTCCATTGAAAACAAAAAAATAATAATTTAAATGTCTCGAGATTGCTTTCACAGCTTTAATAGTTAAATATTAGTGTTATTAGATACAAGTCTGAAAAAAAAAGATAAATACAGAACTTTTATTTTGAAAAGTTACAACGTGCAAATGTCACCAATTCAACGGAATGACAAATGCTGCTATGGTCGTTCTCGGCTTCCGTACATGAGTGTTCCCCGGTATATTCTCTATTTTAGGGGTATCGAACATCTCTGGCTTTAAAAAAAGACCCAAACCTCCACCAAGACAGATGAGAAACAGTGACAGTCTGTCCTGTATTCGGCTTGTAGTACTTTATACTTCTGTGTGAGACCACTACGCCATCTATCGGTTAACGACGAGCAACGCAGCGAAACTAAGAACAAACATGGCGCCGCTCAGCTGAAACAGTACGTTGCACTTATTTGCTGAAGAGGAACACGGTTTATCCGACGAAGAACAGCAGCCGAAGACAAGGTAAGCGGCAGCTAGTGCTATAAAATGTATCATGCTATCACAGTTAGCTAGCTGAAAACTGCTAACGTCACTAAGGGCTAAATGACCCTAAAATATATCACGAGTCTGTCTCTGACGAGACTGACCTCACTGAGACAATTCTGTTGACATCAGCTCACCGTGTGTTTTAATTTATGTTCGTCTGTTTTATGTCTAACCAGTCCTCAGTACGGCTCAAGTATCTAATCTTATTTTATAGTATTTTCTTTATTCCTTATTCGTTTTTATTTATGTGAATTCAGTGTTTCAGAACCAGAATCCGGTGTATTGCCAAGTAAACATACAAGGACTTTGCTTTGGTGCAATGATGCATTGACGAGAAAAAAAAATATCGAATAGAAAAAAATTACAATAAATAAAATAAGTATACTATTGGAAGAAAAAGAGAGAAGAGAGAAATATGTACAATGTAACTGTTTAAAATAAAGGAGCTATGCAGGAATGTGCAAGAATATATCCTAGAGGACGTGCAAAGGCTCATAGTATTAAGAAATAATGTGCAATGAAAATAGATAATAGTCTATTAATGTAACACAAACACAGATCCTCACTTTAGTTGGACTACGGTCTCTGTGGGTCAGTAGTCCAAGTAAAGTGAGGATTAAATGAGAAAATACTACTCGAATATTTTAATATGCAAGAGAATTGTTTCTGTTTATAACACAGGGAGTTTATCCTCTGCTGGACCGGGTTGCTTTAAAATAAATAAATGAAGACTGTACCCTCTTCTCCAGGCACCACTAAAGTCACACATGGGAGACGTTTTCCTTCAGGACATTTCTTTCCTGAAATCTCTTTGGTTACTTGGTTAAATTAAGGAAAAGATGAGCTTTGAGTTCAAATAAACCCTAAATTTAAACTTGTCCAATGTGCGTTTAGACAACTGACTACTTGCATTTTACGACATAAATATCCTCAGGGAACATAAAACTGATTTAATGTTGTTTTAATGCACTCATCACATTACATTTACTTACACTACTTATATTTATATTTCCTTTTGCACCAAGGAGCAGGAGACCCAGTGTCTCGCTGCTCTGCTTCAGCCTCTCCTCTCCTTTACGTTGAGTCCTCAGTGCGTCATGTCCAGGCTGGCGGTGGTCTGTGGCGGCTCCAGGGGCATCGGGCGGGCGGTGTCCCGCCTGCTGGCCGAGAGGGGCTGCAGGGTGGCTGTTGTCTCCAGAGACCAGGACGCTGCCAGAGCCACCGTGGCATCTCTACGTGGAGGTACGGAGACGCACTGACACACACGTGTTAGAAGAAGCTTAAAGAAGCTTAAATAGAATAAAACAGAATAAAAAGTTTTAAATAAAAGATATATTGCAGTTTAGTTCATTTTTATATTTACAGTAGAATTGTAACGTACATTTATGCAGAAGTACGAGATGCGCTGTGTCCAGAGGAGGCTTTGAAAAAACTAAAAGAAAATACATAAACGTAAAAATAAATGTTTGTTGTGCCTCCAGAGTGTTAGCTGTGAGAACTGCATTGTTCTCTTCAGGTCATTAATTCAATACTTCTATTAACAGTTCCATAGTTTAAACACAGAGCACTGATTTGTTTTATGTGTGTGTGTATGTATATATATATATGTGTGTGTGTGTGTGTATGTGTGTGTATATATATATATGTGTGTGTGTGTATGTGTGTGTATATATATATATATATATATGTGTGTGTGTGTATGTGTGTGTATATATATATATGTGTGTGTATATATGTGTGTGTGTGTAGGTGTGTGTATATATGTGTATGTGTGTGTATATATGTGTATGTGTGTGTATATATGTGTATGTGTGTGTATATATGTGTATGTGTGTGTATATATATATATATGTGTGTGTGTGTATGTGTGTGTATATATATATATGTGTGTGTGTGTATGTGTGTATATATGTGTGTGTGTGTATGTGTGTGTATATATGTGTGTGTGTGTATATATGTGTGTGTGTGTATATATGTGTGTGTGTGTATATATGTGTGTGTGTGTATATATGTGTATGTGTGTGTGTATATATATATATATATGTGTGTGTGTGTATGTGTGTGTGTATATATATATATGTGTGTGTGTATGTGTGTGTGTATATATATATATGTGTGTGTGTGTATGTGTGTGTGTATATATATATGTGTGTGTGTATATATATATATGTGTGTGTGTGTGTGTGTGTGTGTGTGTGTGTGTGTGTGTGTGTGTGTGTGTGTGTGTGTGTGTGTATATACGTGTGTGTGTGTGTGTGT